AGTTTACTTATTTTTTCTACGAGTATTTATGAGCCAAATTTGGCTAATACTTCTCATAAATACTCGTAGAAAAAATAAGTAAACTTAAGGAAGTAACAAGAATATATTTAGACATGTTTCTGATGTGTCCTGTCCATGGGCTTGGAATGGTCGTAGAGCAAAAAAATTTTATGATTCTTCGTTATAAGAACAACAAATAAGTACAGTTTAAACAAAATCGGTGACAAACATTTTTCCACCTGGTACACTTGGCAAATTTTGCCCCATAGTTTGAATCGTTTGACAGGCATATTGCAATATTCATGATTTCTGACATAAGCACTCACCTTCATAACCTATCATGTCTATAAAATGTGTCACCATGTTTATTTGAGCTAATATATTCCAATTTATCGTTATATAAATCAAATTAAACCATTTTGTTGTAAAGACATAGGTAAGTAAAAAAACTGGACAAAACAATAAACTAAAAAAGCATAAATAAACAAAATGTTCAACCATAATCTAAACACTTTAATTTTTAGCTTTTTAAATTAAATGCTGAAAATATGCTGAAATATATTGGCATTATTAAACAATTTAAATCCCCAATGGAATGTGTATGTTTTTGGTGGATTTTTTGTATCAGATTTATAAAAATTTACAAAAAGACTTCTATTCATACCTACTGATTAGTTTTAATATTTTAAATTTTATTGATTGTTTTCCAAAATTGTTTACAACGGCTGAACGTGTTTAAATTATTTCTATTTATGGTGCAATCGTTGTGCTCTACGAATTGCATTTAATGAATTACACCCTGGCAAAATGTGCTTCATAAATATGTTCAATAGCTGGTTGCAAAATTTGAACAACCGAGATCTGTTTGCAATTTAAAAAGAAACAAACCTAGGATACTCAATAAAGCCACCCATATTGAGGTTCTTGGTCAGTTTGAGTCTGTTAGAAAGGTGTTAAAACATCAAAAGTTCCACTCATTCAAAATTCAAAAATGCAAAATATGTTTAGAATTTTGTGAAATCATGACCAATAAAATAACAAATCAGATCCAAATACTAAAAAACATTGAGTGTACTTTTTATCTAAATCCTAACAAACTAAATTGTCGTTATTAAAGCGATAGAATCCCCATCTCATCAGAGAAAATCATATATCGTATCCTGAAAAACTTAATGTCTGGGCAGGAATTTTGGGGGATTGTATTATTGGTCCCTTATTTATTGAACAAAATTGAATGGTCAAATTTATTTTAAAATTTTGGATGAAATAATACAGCCATTAATAATAAATGAACTAAAAAATCAAAGAGAAGAGGATGATGAACTACCTTGGATGAAAATTTGTTACATTTTCAACAAGATGGGGCACCACCTCATTATTATTATTATTATTAGTAGCTGTTAGGGCTTGACTGGATCAGTATTATCCAAAACAATAGAATGGCCTCCCAGATCTGCAGATCTGACACCATTAGACTTTTTCCTACGAGGTCACAAAACTCCCCATTAAATTAAAGATCTGTGACAACGAATAGTTCAAGAATGCCGAGCTATCCCACGACAAATGTTTCAAAATGTTCGAGGGAAATTTGAGAATAGACTTACAAAAAGTGTTTTAATTATTGTTGAAAAATTTGTTTATTTATGCCTAGTTTATTATATATAAGTATACTTTTTTTCGAATTATTTTGTGTTGTCCAGTATGTTTTTACAACAACAAAATGGTTTAATTTGATATTTATAACGAGAAATTGGACTAAATAATTATAAAAATGATTTTGCGTATTTTTCAAAAATTAAGTTATTAAAAAATATTTTTTTAGTACCTACTTTTAAATAGCAATTTTTAAGAGGTTATTCTGATTCCCCCCACAACGGTTTTGAGAAATGTTTGATATCTTATTTAGATCAAAACTTAGAGCATTGCTAGTTTTTAAATGGTATATATAAATATATAATGTTAGTTTACATTGTTTTGTTTAATAGAACGATTAAATTAGAAGATCTCTGTATAAGTGGGCGATTAATATAAGAAAATTGCCTCTTCCTGAAACAATTTGTCAACTAATCTTTAAAGCAAATGTTATTTATTACCCAAATATTTAAACATTCATAAAATTAGATTTGGTTAGGTTCAATCTAAATATTTAAAACTAAGTAATTTTTATATTAAAAAAAAAATTAACATTCTAACATATAATAATATAAAATATACTAATTAACATTCTAACATATAATAATATAAAATATACTATATATAACACGACTCGTGTTACACGATCTTTGATGAATCTGATAAAAATGAAAAAATATGAAGTACGTAAAACCAAAACAAAATTTATTATTTTTATTACCAAGTCCAAATCGCAATATTTTAGAAAAATACCAAAAAAATGTAATTTAAAATCATAAAAAGTCAAATAATTGATTTTTCTGGGGAACACAACCTTAGACATTCTTCTTCTTATTGAAAGTTTCATTTCATTTTATTATTTCGTTATAAATATTCTTAAAGTGAAATAAAAAATATAGTACCCCCAAAGGCCCACCACTCTCTTTTGCTGTAATGCAGTTTCGGCACTGTCCGCGAGCAAGTTATTTTGGTTAGGAGAATGTCGCTGTAGGCTTTATTATTTATTATAATTTTGCTTTTCATTTAAAAGGCATTCCAATTTATAAGAATTTGATTAGTTAACATTTACACAGACATTTTGAATGTTAGTTTTTAACACGAACTTTCAATTTTTACTATATAATTTACATAAAATTGGCTAGTCTCCTATACATATTTGCATGTAGTGTCTACATAAGCAATATCAAATACGTAGGTACTTATTACTGCACCATTCTATTCGATTTTATTAATGCTATAGAATTAAGCAAAGGTATACTTTTGCCATTTTATTTTATAAAATATTTATCTTACAATAAAAATTATATATAATTTAATATAACACCTAAATATTCCATTTTTAAAAACATACATACGTCATTGACGTAACGTCAATCACATATTTAGAGAACCATCTACATCTACATCTTTATGCATCAATGAAAACGTTGCTTGATGCATTTTACGCCAAATCGACCACTTTTAAACCTAAAATCTTTTGATTTAGCTAAATTTTTATATGTTTTACTATTCCATAAAAACGTTTCTGTGAATTTTTTAGGAACCGAACCATTTCGGTATGCTCATTACTGTTTCAAGAACTGACCATATGATACGTTTTTTTTAGTTCGTTAATACATGCTTTTTAGAAAAATATTTATTTTATTATAAAAACAAAGATGGATTTTGAATAAATAAAAAATTACACTGAAATATAATAATTAGATAAATCAGTTTTCACTAAAAAAAATAAATAAAACAAAAAATTGCAATATTTTTTATAAGACCGAAAAACTTCATAGAAAATGACTAAATATTTTGTATTTTCAAAAAATTTTAAAAAATTCTCGATAAAAAATTAAAAAAAACATTATTAAAAAATGCTAAAAAATTCAACAAAAACGTTTTTATTGGTAGAATATAAAAAAATCAGACAAACTGAAAAGGTTCCGTTCAAAATTTGTTGATTTGATGTAAAATGCAATTATTATTTCGTTAGCCACAATTCATGTATAATGATAAACATTATAAATTTCCTGCCTAATCACGTTGTTAGGCATCAGTGATTGGCCTATTTCAATATTCACCGTGATTTGAACCAATCGGGTTTTAAATTGGGAGAAAGCGACTATAATAACATTTAAAATTGGTAAAAAGTAAGGTTAACCATTTGACAGATTTCAGATTTTATTTATTTATTTAAAAAAACATTTAATTATCTACTTATTGGGGTATATAAAGTATAGTATTACGACTCCAGATGCAAATAATAGTCTGCATTATCTCTCGAATAATAATATACTATTTATTATTATTTTTATTTTAAACTGCAATCTATGCCACTCTCTATAAATGAAAAAAGCAGTCACTAATAACGGCATGTAGTCCACAGTAATTTGTATCCTGGACATTTAACAGCCAATTCTTATGGAGAATTGTCCCCTGAATCCGAAAAGACTGTCAAAAATTATTAGTAGAGCAGTTTTTTAGATATAGTCAATTCCATATTAAATGGAAAGTTCACTATATCTCAAAAACTGTTCTACTCTTATAACTTTTTACTTCATTTTCGGATTCAGCGGACAATTTATTTAAGGAATTTACTGCTAAATATCCAGGATGCTTTTTTGCTAAGACAATTAGTCATTTTTTACTAATTCATTTTTAGAGAGAGGGTGTCGTTTTACAAAACTTCCTGTCCAAAGTCCTTCAAAGGATATCATTTACTTTTGGGACACCCTGTATAATTCTAAAAGGTCAATTTTTTGCTTAATAACGTTGTTAAAGTAAGTATAAAAAACATAAAATTTAATTTTTACCTATTTGCATCTTTAAAACGATGAAAATTCAAAAAAACGAAAAAAAATAAAAAATGATGATTTTATGAGTAAATAAGTTTGTTGATCATGGGAAGTCTATTTTCATAATGTTTTAAACCGAAAGAAGAACCTGTATAGTTTCTAGTAGTTATTAATCATTTATTACATTCTTAGTATTATCAATAAATTAATTTACATACATAATTAAATCATAATTAGATTTAATTAATAATTTTCTAATTAACCACTAATTAGTCTATTTTTTTTTAAATAAAATGAAATAAACTGTTTAAGTAGCAACAATAAGCTATCCCCTAATCCTTAGAGGCAGATGTCCGCATATATAGTACGCAGACAACCGGCGATCCATTGAAAAACTTCCAAGGCCGCCCGATGAAAGGGCATCGCGTGAAAAGAGCCTTCCCCACTACTCCCCTAGTACTCCCTTTTCTCACCGCGTCGAAGAACGGTCCAGATATTGATCGCGAACCGCATCATCCCGCGAACTTTGAGCGTACGCCGGCGCGGAACTTCGCGCTCCAACGACGCTTTTTATCAGTTTGGCAACGTGCTTTCGGCAAGAACAAACCACCACCGCGGGCACCATGGACGAAGACAAGAGCGAGAAAAATGAAAAAACCGAAGACGAGATCACCCTCAAGCCCAAGATGACCCTGGTCAACGGGATCACGGTCATCGTTGGAAGTATTATCGGATCTGGGATTTTTGTTTCTCCTTCCGGAGTTTTGAAGCACACCGGTAGTGTTAATGTTTCCCTCGTGGTTTGGACCGTTTCCGGAATATTTTCTATGGTAAGTGCAAAATTAAAAATAACTCATAAATCCTTTAATATTAATCCTGTTAGACAGAACTGCTTTAAACGCTGCAGCGTTTTAAAATAAAAAATTTGTTGTTTCGTTTTAATTTAAATATTAAAACATTTTGTATTAAGGTGTGTACTTTACCCTTTAAATTTTCAATGATAAGCCCTTCTGCGCAAGTAGTTTTCGAATTCAAAAAACACATTATGGACATAATATCAAGGCATGAAACTTATTAAGTGTCATACCTTCGTATAATGTATATGATCGGTGTGATGAAATTTTTATTAATATTGAATGACATTAATTGGTTTTTAATATAAATATATGTTTAATTAAACTTTTGTAAAAAACTTTTATTAAGTAATTAAGACATTTATTTCAAATTTTTTTATTTCTTGAAAATTTATACCTTATAACCTTATGCATTAGTATGATTTTTTGATAAAGATACTAAAGTATAATAAGCTAATATTATAGCATTTTAAAATTCTTTTTTAAAGTAATAATTTACCTTTCTATACAGATATTATTATTATGGTTATTGAAAATATCACCAAAACTAATAGGATTTAACTAAATTAGAAAAATCAAGATACACAATACTAAAAAACTTACAGAAACGATTCATTATTTAAGGTTAATAATTATTTTTGGCGTAAAAGGTAAAATGTAGAGGTGGTACGGTATTTTTCCTACATAATGTTTTTAAATTCTTAAATAATTTAAAGATTTAAAAAAATAATTATAAAATTTATTTAATAATGTGTTTACGGATGCAATAGGTTAAGTAAATTGTTTAATGACATCTAAGCCAGTACAGAAAGAATACCACAAAATTAACTGACAATTATTAAAAAATAGTGGTTTTTAATACTTGTTTATTAATTTGGTATTTTTTTATTTATACATCTGCACCTTAGAGCGGCGATTCCTAAAGTGGGTTCCGCGAAAAAGTCAGTAGGGTTCCGTAAATTCCTTCGATTTTTGATACGCCACTGAAATACAGTAAATTGGGGACAGCTTTGATATTTTAGGATTTAGCGCTTTTTTGTTTAATAGTGATTTCCTAACTATACCTTAACTACAGTAGTAATTGCAAAACGAACAAATACAAAAACCTTAAAAATGTGTCTTCTATAAGCATATATGGTGCAAGTTCTAAAAAAATAATTATTTTTTGGTTTTAACTAGATTTTTCGCCCAGCAAATTAATATTTTTTTTTAATTTACGGCATTTTAATTTACTTAAATTATAATAATAGTTGTATCTTTTTCACAAATTTGACTATATTTGGTTATCTAGAAAATGTTTATAATAACCAATTATAATTATTTTTAAACATTGTTAAATTTATAAAAGTGTTATGGAAAAATATATTGATTTTTACTTTAAAAAATAATTAAAATTTTTAAATCCTGATTGACATAATATTAAATTATAATAATAATATTATTATACAATATATATTGGCATTTTGACATATACAGTGGGCACGTGCGTAATAAGCCCTTATTTGAAAGTTATTTCGATAAAACGTTTAAATAAAATTAATTATCAAATTTTTTTCATTTATTAAGTACAGTAAATTTCCAATTATAGTTTAAATTGTGTATATTCAAAATGCTCAAATGGGACATTTTGACACAAAAATAGTCTGTTTCTAATTTCAGTTCTCATATTTGCAAACGTTTCTTGTGTAATATTCGGTGATGTGGAACTTTGATTGTAAATAACCCCACAAAAAATCAAGTGGCGTTAAATCAGGAGACCGAGTAGGCCATTCGGTAGGACCACGCCTACCAATCCTACTATTTTGATAAGTCCCATCAAGCCACTGTCTACACTGACAGAAAAAATGTTTTAGAATCATTCAAAACGATAATAATTCAAAGGGATTCAAATATGTTTTGGCGTCATTGGTGTGTCCCATTAAATTGTATAAAACATAGAAGGTACACTTTAAAAGTGTTTAAAAACATTGTAAAACTGTTGGTAAATGAATATAAAACTACAAATTTTGAAAAAATTAAGATAAATTGAATATATTTTAAAATAAAATCAATCAAATATTTGATTCAGGAGTTGTGACACGCCAAGGTACTGATGTTTTTAATATTTATTATGTTTTTCTACAAACGTGCTTTTGAAAAAAATAGTTAAAAAACCTGAATCTTTTGTAATATACTAAAATATTTACAAAAAATATTAAAATACCTACTCTATTGACTGATGACATCACGTTGTCCAACTTTTGTAGAATCATCCATATGCTTGACATGATATTTCTCTGAGTGTACACTGTTCAAAATTTCATGACCATTTTAACACCAAATTATCACCATATATGGTCTATATCGATACAAACCAAAATGGTGTTAAATAGGGTTCGTTGGTCCGGTGTAAATTCAAATACTAAAATAGTGTTAATTTAACTTTCACACAGTATTAAAATAAATTTTACCTGGTGTAAATTGAACTCCTTTTCAGTGTTAAATATTATGTGTTTGTGGTCAAATTAAATCATACTACACAGAAAAAAGAAAAAAAAAGGAAACAGGAAGTTCCTTGACGCATTACTAGTATATTACTAGTGGTATTATTTCAGAAAATGGAACCTTCAACTCGCTAGAGATAATGATTTTAGTTCGTTCCACTAACTTAAAATACTTCAAGTATTGACAGCTGTTTCCACCTATTTAAGGCCTAGTATCGAACAACTTGTAGTGTCACACCAAAGCAAAGGACTACCTGAGCTTATATATTCTTCATGTAAGTCAACAGAGGCGAGATTTAAGAACATCACGTGATCCACAAAAAAATAAATACTTATGGGTCAACTAAATTAATATAGTTAAATGAACTATTCCTTTTTTTCTGTGTAGTTTCACTTCTCAAATATTTTTAGATAAACACCGTTTTGGTGTTCATTTTCAACCATAATTCATGGTGTTATATTAACATCACTTGGTGTTGGATTTTGACACCATTTTTGGATTACTCTTTACACCACAGATATTTTAAACAGTGTAACATCCCTAAAAAAATGTGCGGGAACTCCATCTTTTTGAAGTATTACTTCCATGGCAAATTCGTGCTTGAACTATATTTTGAATCATTGGATGATTTTGTGTTTGAAGCATGTTTAAGTACAAGATGCCCATTGCCATACAATATGGTTTCCCAGTTGTCTCGCCCATACATTGACTTTTTGTTGGTAGGGTATGACCACGAAAAACATGTGGATTTACATCTGACCAGTAACGTACATTTTGCCGATTTACAGTGCCATTCAAGAAAAAAGTGCATTATCACTAAAACAAACTAATTGCAAGTACAGGGGATTTTGTATTATGCGCTCACACATAACTTCACAAAATTTTACTCTACGATCCGGGTCATTTTCAGTAAGTTAATTTATAGGGATAAAATATATTATGTTTTAAAGTTTTTCTGTTGATTTTGCTATTTCACAATCTCTGAGATTGATTTCCTACCCGATCCTTTCTGCCTACTCACACTTCCGGTTGTTTGAAATTAAGTCACTAAGTACCGTAGATATTTTTTGCAAAAATTGTTGTATGGGTTCCCTCTCTGCTCGGTGCAAATTACGTCCAACTTCGGCATAAATAAAAATTGCTTCTGTTTTTTCTTTCAACGGTCGAGCGCGAACCATTTTCCAACGAAATAAAAAGTAAAATTGTAGGCACAACTAAATAGTGTTACACTAAAAAGAACAATTATTTTATAAACCGCCTTAAAACTACACTGGTACGTTTGTTTACAAACAAAAAAAAACAAAAAAGAGGCAACAAAATTAAATGGATTTTCGATAATTTGTACAGTGTTTCAATTCTCGAAATTTTCGGCAAAATATCAAGGAGTAGTCGGATTCTCCTAAAAATTCGTTTATAGAGGTTTTTGGGGGCGCTGATAACGAATCTGAATTCCAAAATTCAAAATGGTAGATCCAAAATGGCGGACATATTTGTCAAAAAATTGACGGAATCAATTGAAAATCACCATACAGGGGTTTTTGTGGTCGCTGATAATGAATCTTTTATTTTTTATTTTATTTAAAATAACAACAATTGTACAAAAAAAAATAAAATACATGCATATATACTACTATACTGACTAATACAATGTGGTTGTGTCCCTATACAGCAAACTGCTGGTATCAGGACTGAAATCACAGTGTGTCACAATTAAACAGTTCACATTTATCTACTTAAACATTAAATATAAAATAAAACAAAAAAATACATATCATGATTTATGGTCTTATATAAAATTCTTATTCATTAGGTACATTTTTAATCGGTTCAAATATATCCTAAAGCTAGGACATTGTCTTATATTTAAAGGTAACGAGTTAAAAGCTAATGTGGCTTGAGTTAAAGGGTTATGAAGTGCTGCGTTTGTTCTAACGTTTGCAAGATAAATATTTCTGTTATTTCTGGTGTTATAGTCGTGAATGTCACTATTAAAATTCAAGTTACTATTGCATTTTAGGTCCCGAGTTAAAATTTTGAAGATTTGTTTACTTTGTTCAAGTTCAAGAATATATCTTACCGGATACAGTGTTTTATTTTCAAAAAGCTCAATTGTAGGTGTAAGAAATGGTTTTTGAAAAGTTATTTTTATAGCCTTATTTTGGAGTGTCTGAATTTTATTAAAGTTTGTTACCCCACATGTTCCCCAGATGTTAATTAGGTATTGTATATTCACCCATAATATAACAAGTGGTATGATTATCATCGATGATATTTTCGAATTGAAACCGAGCTGCAGATTTCACGAGTCCGCAGGACGAGTGAAATGTGCTGCTTCGGTTTTAATGAGTAAATATCATCGATAATTAATCATACCACGAGTTATATTTAGTGAGAAAATATAATGAATTTTAGGATTTAACGAATTTTTAGTTTGACATTTGAAATTAAAATGTGCTTTAAAATATAAAAAGACTTTAATAAACCTTATTTAT